CGGTGGGCTGCAGCCGGCTCCACAGCATCCTCAGCCACTCCCTGCCCACGACCCACCCTCCATGGATCGTTTGGTGGCCCCAGCAGGGCCACGGGCCCCTCACCTGTGCAGGTGCGTGGCCACACCAGACACGGATGAGGCTCCGGTTGCGCAGGCTCTCATCCCCCGTTGCAATGCCCGTGATCACTGACTTGTCCAGCTGCAACAACACACATGTTGGAGAGGGCCCTTGGGGGCTGACAGCACCCCTGCCTCGGGGACATCTTTGCTGGGATGGGGACACCACTGCCAGCGTGGGGACACTTGGACATGACCACCATCAAAGGGACACCAGCGGTGGGGACATCACCACCAGCACAGGGACACCCATGCTGGGGTACCACCACCAGCCTGGGGACACCATGGCTGAGGAGACCTGGATGATGAGCTTGGTGAAGGGCTCCGTGATGATCTTCAGCAGGTCAGGGGCGTCATTCCCACTGCGGATGTTGAAGGTGGCCACGACCAGGTGGGTGACGTGGTGCAGGTACCCGCTCACCACCTCCAGTGGCAGCAGGACCAGCACCGACAGCCAGTTGAAGCAGTCGTGCACGGTGGCACCGGCGAAGGCCCTGCGCGGAGGAGCCCATTGGCATGGGGTGGCCCCTGGGGAGCAGCCCCTCCAGTCCCCTCTGCCCCGACCAGCTCTCACCGTTTGAACTCACTGCGGTCGCCAGCCTGCATGAGGGCCACGATGGTGTTGGTGACAGAGGTGCCAATGTTGGAGCCCATGATGATGGGGATGGCAGAGCGCACCTCCAGCACTGGGGACAGAGAGGCCCGCTAGCCCTGCATGGCCCAGCTCAGGGTGACCCCGTCCAGCCACCCCATCCCCCAGCCTCAGGTCCCAGGGAGCCCCACGGGCGCACTCACGCCCCGAGGAGACCATGCTGACAATGATGGAGGTGGAGGTGGAGGAGCTCTGCACCAGCACGGTCACCAGGATGCCCACCACCAGCCCGGCCACTGGGTTGGAGAGGATGGCGTTGTCCTTGAAGATGTCCCCGGCCACCTTGCCTGCGAGAGAGCGTGAGCGGCAGGGGCTGGCACGGGGTGTGCCACCAGCCGCCCACGTGCCCCCACCACCCTACCTCCGGCCAGCTGGAAGGCAGAGCTGAGCACGTCCAGGGAGCACACAAAGAGGTACAGGAACCCGAACATCAGGGGCACCTTGAGAAGGGAGACACAGATGGACTGGACCCTGGCCCAGCACCCCAGCTCTGCGCAAGACAAGAGAGAGTGTTAAATGCCAGCAGCAGCATGGCCCTGGCTCCCCGGGCTCCCGCAGCCCCACACCGTCCTCCTGTGCCCCCGGTGGGAGGGGGCTCATGTCCCCAGCTGTGCCACCACTCCCTGGGCCCCCTGCACATCCTCCCTCTCTGGAGCGCCTTTTGCCGACCGCCCCC